ACGGCATCGACCACCGCATGAACTACAGTGCGCGCGTTCACGGCATCACGCAGAACGCACAGCTTGCGGAGACCCTCGCCATTGTCCACCTCACGGCATGTGCCGAACGGCCCGTACACGTCTTCGTGGACAACCAGGCGGTGGTTGACGGTTTCCAAAGGATCATCGACGGACACTCACCACCGCAGGGCACGCACGTGGAGCTCTGGGAAAAGGTCCACCGATGCGTCATGGCCAAGCCAAACATGTTCCGCGTCGAGAAAGTCGCTAGCCACCAGGGCGACATGGGCATCGACCTCGGGCTCATCGGGCCCATCGCGGAGGAGTTCAATCGTCAGGCTGACGCCCTCGCCACAGCGGCGGCACGTACTCATAACCTTCCAGACGACATCGTCGAAGCTGCCAAATCACGACATCGCCAAGCGACCGTGCTTCATGGAGTCGCTGTCGCCATCTACGAGCGTAGACATCGTACACTCCCCCTCCCACACCGCAGGGCTGGGTTCACAGCTGCGGAACTAAACAAAATGGAACCAAATCCCCTGCTGTCTGACCAGGCACCACCCGCGGCTGGACCAGACATCCCACAAGACCCCGACGAGCTCTGGGCCGAGGCCCAACGGGTGTTATTCGACGAACAGGAGGACGACCCGTTCGGCTTTGGTGGAGGCCTGGACTTCCTGGGCGACGGGCCAGCCAGCGCCAACCCTGCCCCGTCGGGCACCCGCACGGCGCCCCCGACTCCGCCATTGAGTGCGGCAGCGCACCCACACAACAACGCCGTTCCTTTTCAAGACGCTGATGAGCAGGACGATGACCTGTTCAGCTTCGGTGGGGGATCGGACGCTTTGGACGACGGACCAGCCAGCGAAAACCCCGCCCTGTCGGGAAACCTCTCGACCTCGACCCCTACTGCGACTCCGTCCCCAAGAGCGATAACGCCCACATACGATGACATCGGCCACCGCCAAGACGCCGACCATGACCTGGGCGACCCCCGAGGACTGAGTGGCATTGAGGACGCACCGCCGATACCACGCGCTGCCGACCATGCCGCCCCACCGAGACGCCAACCTTCTACGCGACCGACCTCAGCGGCCTTGCACGGCATCACGACTGGTCCCACCGCGCAAACCACTCCGCCTCCCCACCGCCGGCAGCCAGCGGGGGCGGCTTCAGCCCCCCCGCAGGGTACTAAACCAGACAGGCCCTCGTGCCCCATCCACGC